CCTATAGGATTTGGTTTCAAGACTTACTATATAGCTGCAGTAATCAGGACTGTGTGGTATTGGCATAAAGATAAAGCGTATAGATTAATGGAATACAATAGAGTCCAGAAATAGGCCCTCACATATTGGATCAATTAATTTGCAACAAAAATGATAAAGGATAAAGGATCGACTTTTCAACAAATGGTGCTGGAACAAGTGGATATCCCCCACATGGAAAACAATAAACTTTGACCTTTAACCTCACACCATACTCACAAATTAATTCAAAAGGAGTCACAGGCCTGTGTGCAAAAGCTAGAACTGTAAAGCTTCTGGCAGAAAATCTAGGAGGAAATCTTTTTAACCACTGGATAGGCAGAGATATCATGGGTAGGACATAAAAAGCACAAAGTACGTAAGATAAAGTTGATAAATTGTACTTCATAAAAATTTAAAACTTCCGTTCTTTGTAAGATTCCAGTAAGCCAATGAAAAGGCAAGCCACAGACAGTGCAAAATATTGCCAATACTTTCTGACAAAAGACTTGTATCCAAAATATATAAAGAATTCTTAACAATTCATAAGAAGACAAACAATCCAGTGAAAAAGATATTCAAATAATTACCACACACATGAAAAAATGTACACATTATTCATGAATGGGAAAATGCAAATTAAGACCAGATAAAAAAATGAGATTTTTTACAAATACATACTCACTAAACTGGTCAAAATTAATACTGGCAATAACTAACAAGACTGTGGAGTAACTGTAAACCTCATGCATTATTGTGTAACAACCACTTTGGATTACTATTTAGCCATTTTTAAGAAAGTTAAATGTAACATAGGATCCAACTATCCAGTCCTAGACATTTATCCGAGAGAAATAAAAACATATGTCCACAAAAAGACATGTACATGAATGCTTATAGCAGCTTTATTTGGAAGAACCCCAAACTGGAAACAATCCAAATGTCCATCAACTGATGAATGAATAAACAAATGATGGTATATCTATACAATGGAGTACTTCTCAGCAATTAAAAGGAATGTGCTGCTAATATATGCAACACCATGGATGAATCCCCAAAATGTTATCTTGAGCAAAAGAATTCAGACACAAAAGTCTATATACCATATGATTCCATTTATATGAACTTCTACAATGGGCAAAACTCATCTATAGTAACAGAAAGCAGAGAGGTGATAGCCTGGGGCTGGTGCAGGAGGGCTCACTGCAAAGGAGCATAAGGGATCCTTTGGGATGATGGAAATGTTCCATATGGTAATTATGGTGATGGTTATACAGGGGTATGCATTTGTTGAAGCCCTCCCTTACTGTGCATTTAGAATGCATGTATTTTGTGCATGTAACATTGATTTGGAAAAAGGAATTAAGGTTGTGTTTTACTTCTTCACAATGATGACACCTCAACATGAAAGAAGTTGCTTAGAACCCACAACCACCAAGAGCAAGCCTAAAATTAGCACCTAGGATGTGCCATGAACCTTTTGGGCTCTTTCATTGTCTTATCAGCCTTTAAAATGTTTATTATCACCACCCAGCAAGGATATTAAAACATTTACCCAGAGTCACACAGCTAGCAAGAGGCAAAGCCAGGGTTCAAACTCAGGTCTGATTCAAAAGTCTGTGCTTTCATAAACTTCCCTGCACCGTCCCTAGAAAGGAAAGAAATCCAGCTAGCATGGAGGTCCCACACTTAAAAATCACTACCAAAATCAACTATGATTTAAAAAGTTACATCCACAGGACCTATTTCTAGTTACAAAGCCACTGACCCACAGACTAGATTTGGATGGCAAGGCCTGTCGTATGCCTAGCTCATCACATATAGAGTGTGTATTCATTTATAAAACACCACAAGAGCTAATGTTTGCAAAATTTCCAAGCCATCCATGCCAACATGTGAGCTCTCGAGTAATCTGAGACCTTCCAGGCCAGGATCAGCCTGTTAGGATTAGGGAATCTTAGACCTCTAGGTGCTAAAGACCTTGGAGGCAAGTGACTTGACCATGGACAACAGAGAGAGAGATCCAGAGCCAGGACAAACCCAGGCCCCTGGCTTCTGGCCTACCTTCCATCCCACTGTCAGCATACCATCCTCTGGGAGCCCACCTGACACCCTAGCAGGGCCCAATGCATCCTGTCACACTGCTGAGGGCAGAGATGAATGTTGCAGTCTCACCCATCCCACTACAGCCAAGAGGGTCTAAGAGTCAACCAAGCAGGGTAGGGCTACCCTCCACCCACTCACCCTCTGCAACTCCTCTGCAACAGCTGCTTTTTAGGTGGTCAACTGGCATTAGCTCTGGAGGCTGATCCTTGTAGGGCAAAGAGCCCAGACTGGAGGCAGGACCTGGTTTCTATCCTGCCTTTCCTACTAATTTGCTGTGTAACATTAGGTGAGTTGCTGAAACTTTCAGATCCTTGGTGTCCTTTAGGAGTTATTTCTACACATCCTATATACCTCAAGAATGACCCTGTGGATCAGATGAGAGAGGGGCTGTATGAGAAAGTGATTAGTAAACTGCAATACTAGTTATTGTGTTATTATCACCATAAACAGAATAAGGCTCTAGGCTCATACAAAAGCACCAGAAGCAGTTGCCAGCTTACTAGGGTTTGGGGGTGATGGTTGCTTCATCTGAAAAATGGGAATAATAATACATGACCTGCTTGAAGCAAGGATTTGGACCAGAGATCCTCCTGGGGTCACTTCCAACTCTATGATTCTATGATTTCAAAGACCCCAAGAAAATTGGCCTTCCCTGCTCTCCTGACACTTGAATTTTCTTTCATCAAGATGATAAAACACTCTAATTAGAAATGAGATTCAAATGCAAATGACCTGGAGAAAGGAGATGCACATTGCCTCTCATTCTCACTACAGTGTGAGTGACTGATACCAGATTCCTTCCTGGGAGCAAATTCTGATGGGAAGCTGGAAAACCTGGCCTGACCGAGTCATAGCAGGGTTTCTTCAGTGAAAACTCTAGCTGAATCCCAAGAATCTCTTGGACCAAAATGTAACAGCAGGAGGCCCCAATTTTAGCTTATTCTTTGAGTTTATCTGTCCTGTTCCCTAGACTGGGGTGGTAGTGGCTTGAACGTGCTTTGCCAGCTCTGCCCAGTTGGGTTCATGACACAGGAATGGTGGCCCTAGCACTCACAGCTCTAACTCAGGCCTAATCAACCATCTCCTTTCTCAGTGCCAGGGCTGCCCCCTTGCTCACAACCCTCAAATTCTAACCCCATGCACTGCTGCAAACTTCCTCTTCCAACCACACTAGCCAGGGTGGTCCAGGCCTCCTGGAGCACCTCTCCTCCCACCCCACCTGGCCCTTGCTCCATTCTCACCCCCAAAACACAAACAAACAAAAGAACTGTGGAAATGAGTTGGTGCACCACAGAATTCAGGCACCATTTGTCCTCTTCCTCTCCATTCCAGCTGGGCAGGGATATCAAGGTAATGTGCCTGATTCCTTAATGATAATAATTACCAGCATTAGCTGAGCATTTACTATGTGCTAGACACTGTCCTAAGTGATTTACATGTAGCAACTCACATAATCCTCACATGAAATAGACACATTGTCTTCACTTTACAGATGAGAAACCTAGGCACAGAAAGGTTAAGTGACTTGGCCTAGAGCACACAGCTAGCAAGCAGCAGCGTTGAGGACTGAACCGAGGGTCTGTGCCCTATTATATTCTGCCTGCTGAGGCAACAGCAGTCCCTTCAAGCCTGATATCATTGGGAAACAAATATGTTTTTGTACTGCTCATGGTGTGCATCTAGGGGCTCAGTCATATCAAGTTCAGCCCCTTATTGTACCAGAGGGATCACTGAGTCCCAGACACTGAGTGGTCTTCCCAAGTCACCAGCGACCTGAGTTCAGAGCTAGGCTGACCCTCATTCCATGTATTCCAAGGCACGTTTTAACCAGAGGTCATGACCTGGAAATGAGCCCACAGCCCTTACTCCAGCCTGGGGGGAACCTCTCAGACCCTTACACCCCCGCCCTGACAGGTGCTTAAGAGCAGTCTCTGGCAGGTCCCTGGTGTGTTTACTTGCCTGTGCTGTAGTCAGACTAAACCTCACCCTGGCAAGATTTAAAGTAATAGACTAGATATTTGGAGTGAGCTTTGGGTGGAAGTCAGGAAAGTACCCCCGCACCCACGTCCCCACCTCCCACCCCAAGTCCAATTAATTGCCTTGTAACTTGCGCTCCAAATACTCCCCGCGCCCGTCCCACTCTCCCCAGGGGTCGCCTCAATTCTGAGCTTCCTTTTCCAATCATGTACACGATCTCCCCTCTCACTCTCTCTTCATTCTACCGAGAATTCACCCGACTCCAGGCCTGAGATTTGGTCGGGTTCCCCAAGAGGAAGGCTCCCTCCCACGTCTCCAGCTGACATCCCAGGGTCCGCAAGTTGCTCCATTCCCCTTGTAGGGCTCCCCTCCCCTGGCCCCGGAAACCGCTCACCCCACCCAGTTCTCCGGGTCTACGTTCCTCAGGGTGAAAATAGAGGGTGGAGAGAGAGCCCGAAGCAGGGACTGAGGCTGGACAGAGCCCAGACGGGGGCAGACAGGGCGCCGAGTGAGGGAGGATCCGGAGAAGGCATCCGAGCGCGGGAGAGACTCCTGGACAGGCAGGGCCAGGGCGCGCCGGGGCCAGGGTCCGAGACCTGTGCAGAGTCCGGGAGCGTGGGCTGGGGTCCGAGACAGGGCGGGGGTCTCGGATAGGATGGGGTGAGAAAAGCGGCGGCGAAGCGGACCAGAGTCGGACTTTGGAAGGTGCGATGGCGGCCTGAGCCGGGGAACCCAGAGACCGAGCTTGGGGAGCGAACTCCTCCGGCGAGGTGGGGCTGCGCCCCGCCGGAGCTAAGGTTTGAGTTCGAGATCAGCCGGGGTCGGCGGAAGGGAAAAGTTGGCCCGGCTGGAGCGCGAGGAGGGGGAGGCCGGCGGGCCGGGGCGCGGCGGGCACTGACCCGAAGTAGGCAGCAGCGGCGGCAGCGGGCAGCGCCAGCAGGCAGAGCGCAGCCAGGGCCAGCGCGGGCTGGGGGTGCATGATGCCGGCGGCGCGGCGCCCAGGCGCATCTCCTCGCGCCGCTCAGCTCCTGCAGCGCTGCCACCAGCTGCCCGCGGGGCCTTAAACCCGGGAGGGGCGGGGCGGGTAGGGGAGGGCGCAGCGCAGGCGGCCCCCCCAACCCCGGGTGGCGAGCCCCCAGCTCTACTGGCCCGCCGGCCTCGCCCCGCCCCATGGCGGGTGGGGCCTCGCCTCGGGCCCGCCTCTGCCCCGCCCACCTGCCCCAGGTGAGCGCTCACCTGACGCCACGCCCGCCAGGGTACTTGGCAGCGGAAAGTAAAACCCCTCACCCTCTAGTGCCTGCAGAGGCGGGAACCAGGGAGTTTCCGTAACTGCGGGTGGGGTGGGGGGACACTCAGGATTCTCTCCTCGGAAGCAAGGAGGTGGGAACGTAGAAGCGGGGGATGCCTGGAGTCTGCGGGGAAGTCAAGTGGTGTCCGCTCCCTGCCGGACGCGGGTCTCTCTGCCCCAGATCCGGGACTCTGCGGGAAGGGCAGAGTCCTGACGCGAGCCGCTGCCCATGGGCGAGGAGGCAACGTCTAATGGCTGAGGGGACACTCCTGCCGGGCAAAGGGAGACCTGGGGAGGGTCCCTTAGCCACAGCGGAGAGGGAAAATGGAGCCCCCTTTCTACACCGGAAACTGCGTCGAGGGCAGGGTGCACAGAGCTGGTCTCAGTTGTCATTTGACAAAGTGCTCTTGATGTTTGGGGGACAAAAATCCAGATTCTCTGGTCAGTGAGAAAAAGTGGAGGTTGGGGGCAGTGAAGAACCTGCTTTCCAAAGTGTGTAGATGCCAGAATCTCTGTCAGACAGAATGGGAATCTCCACTGTTGGGCCACAAAGCTGTCTGGCATATTCCATTTTAAAGATTAACCCCAATTTCTGCAGCAAAAGAGCAGTGATCAAGGCAGTGGGTGGCACCAGTCTAGGAGGGAGACATACAAAAAATGATACAAGCAAGATTTTAAATGTTTCTGAGTCTTGAACACCAGGTCAAATCAAGCTGCACTGAGTGTCAAGATCAGCATGTAAAGTTTCCAAAAAATCAGCCATGCATGTAGAACATCAGATGACAACAACCTTGGCTTTGGGGTGGACACCAGCATGATGGACAGGCTGGGAGACTGATGGGGAGATGGCAGCTGCAATGTTAGGCAGTATTGGCAGAGGAAGGCCACCACCATCATGAGCATCTCTGAGCTCAGTGTCCCTGTCAAATGGGCAGAGTGATTCGATGGTGGGTGATCTTTAACAACTCTGCCAGCCCTGTCAAACCTCATGGTTCTGTTTACTGGGTACACAACCCCTTGAGGTAGGCTGGGGTCTCAAAACATGTAGACTGTGAACCCCAGATACAAAATGGATATGATGACAAATATCTCAGTATTTCTGTGCAGATAAGAGTGACACCAAATGCCTAGCAGGTGCTGGCACTCAGGGTGGTTGTCACACCTGCAAACAGGACCAGTGGGTAAGCTGACTGTTCACATGCTTTGGGTTGCGGAGAAGTGGTGGATGGGTGTCTGAATTGTATCATTTGCCAATTTCTGTCCTGTAAAGATTCCCACTGTGGCTGATTGCAAGCTGTCAGTGTGACATCATCCCTGAGGACTGGAGTTAGGAAGAGATTTGCACAGGAGGCTCTGCAAGCCAGTCCCAGTCCCAGCTGGGGGCTCAAGCACACCACCAGCAAGACCTGGAACCAGGCTCAGGGAGGCTTGGGGGTGGGAGGGTCGGGTAAAGTGGACCAGTGTGAGTCAGAGGGGAGGAAGAGCCCCAGGAGGCCTCTGCCACGCCCAAGGGGCACCCAAGTGCAGGCAGCGAGGAGGGAGCAGGTCCATGTCCAGCTTGGGCTGCCCCAGCTGCCCCTCCTGTCCTTATGTCCATAAGCATGTGCCATACACACAAGCATGCACAAGCATGCATGCCTGGAGAAGGTGGAGGATGAAGGAGAAGCACAGAAGGTGGGGGATAAGGGAGGGAGACCAAAGTGACACATTTTCAACATTTCATCAAAGTTACATGTTGACAGCTGACAGCTAACTTCTTTGCTGTGATGCAAAGAACTTGGAGGAAGCGCCACAGATACAAAGGAGGTATCAGTAGTTGGACTGTAAGATACACAGGAAATACCCAGATGGATGTTCTTGAGTCCCCTCCAGTCAATGGCATGACTCCCTCCTTTGGGCTCCTTCCACCTGCTGTTAGAACCTTGTGGTCTCTGCCTGCTGGGATGACCGTGAAAACCTCCAAGTTGTGCTTCTGCCTTCCTGGTCAACAGGGCTTCACAGAACCACCTGCCCAGGTGGCAGCTCCTGTTGCTGACAGTATTTCCAACAACGGCTCCTGCATACCAAGCTCTGTGTGTGTGTGTGCCTGGCCCGGAACAGGTCTCACAGAAGCCACACATGCCCTGCGAGGTCAGAGCAATCATTACACCGACGAGGAAGCTGGAGGCTCAGAGAGGTTAAGTAGCCGGTGCACGTAACCCAGCTGTAAGTACGGGAAGGAGAAGTTGGCCCCAGCTCCAGCAGAACTGTCAGGCTGTTGTGACTCATGACTGGCACAGCCTGACTCACAGTGGACTTTGCATAATTCATCCTTACGGAGCATCATGTACCTCTCAAGTGCTGATTCTCAAGGGGCTCATCTCTGGAGGGCAGATGACAGTGAAAACTCCCAACTCCACAACTGTAGTGCTGCAGGACCCCTGAGGAAAGCATGAGGGTGGCCCTCAGGATTTAGAGCCTCATGCCATAGATGTCTTGCTGCTCCCACCTGCCCTTCTGCCCTGGGAGCTTCTCAAGGGCAGGCCTGTGTTTTACTTCTCTCTGTATCTCCAGAGCCTGGCACAGGACCCAGCACATAGTAGGTGCTCAGGAAATATGTGTTGTTGCCAGCTTGTAACTTTGGTCTGTGGCCTTTGTAAGGGTCTGTAGAGATAGGCAGTGTCATACTAACACCATGCATGCTCACAGAAGTATCCTCTCCCATGCTCAGACATGTGCTGTCTCTCTCTTTCTCTCTTTCTCTCTCTCTCTCTCTCTCTCTCTCTCTCTCTCTCACACACACACACACTCTCTCTCTCTCTCTCTCTCTCTCTCTCTCTCTGCAACACAAGTCCAGGCATTCAGTGACACAGATTCCCACACCTCCCCCAAGGATGTCTAAATTCCTAGGCAGACCCACAGCTGCTCCTGGACCCACACGTTCACACAGGTATGCAAGAGAAACATTCTTAGACAGCCACATGCAGCCACCTGTCTCCGTTAACCAGCCCAAGGCAGCCGTGCTTGGGGCTGCAGTCCTCCCCTCCCCCAGTGGACATACACACACTTGGGAGGCTGAAAAGCCTTCGATGGCTGCATCAAATCCCAGTCCAGTGTGTCTCCAGACCTTTCTCTCCATCCCCCACCTTGCCCCCAGGCCAGGCCACCTGGCCTGAAGCTGACTCTCAGGAACCACCCATCTTTGGCCACAGGATCTCCTGGCTGCAAACCCCAACTCGGCTCAGGCCCCAGGGGGAGCCTGGCAATCATACAAGCTCCAAGCTCACCCCCAGGCCGAGAGCAAGCACAAACGAGAAAGTCCAGGCTGGCCATCTCTCTGTAATAACCCTCAAGGCTGCCCTGGAAAGGGCCTCAACCCTGCAGGAAGTGGGGCAGGTAATGCTCTGGCAGCTGCGGGAAAGGCACCAGGGCCCAGGCCAGGTAGAAGTAGCCAGGTTGCCCAGGACAGCCCATCCTGGGGAGGCCCCAACAGGACAGTTATGGGTGTGTTCACGGGTCCCTCCCGCCTCCCTGTGACCCAGCCTTCTTTGCTGTGGCCTCATTATGACTTCTGTTCTGATCACTCCCATTGGTCCTACCCCCGAACATTTGAACTGGATTGGACTCTCACTTGCATTATGTGGCTCCCAAGCTCTGTGAGGCAGTGAGTCAGACATTAGCATACAAAGAGGACACTGAAGTCCAAAAAGGTGAATTTTCTGACTAAAGTCCAGAAAACTTCCTTGACCTCATGGAACTCGCTGGTGGTTGGGGATTTGATATTTTCATAACATTTCAGTCAGGAGACTGAATAGAGCTGAAACTAAGTGGGGCAAGTGGGCTACTATATTCCACACACAGGAGGCTCATGGCTATGCTTGAATACAATTTTAAAGGATGGTGGAAAAAAGACACCACAGTGTTAAAAAAAGTGGGTACCTTTAGGGTTGGGAGTGTGGGTAAAAACTTTTCATCCTCATTATTTTTTCAAGATTTTCTGTTACAAGCAGAACAGTCATTATGCTTAACAGTCATAATGAAAATTCCTTCAAAAAGGGGTAGGGACAAATGCACAAGAGTAAACCTCCAATGGTATAACTTGAAGCATGGCAGGAAAGATATTCAGGAGGTGGAGAGGCAAGTATTCCTGAACATGCTTCTATGGCACCCATCCATATACCCTTCTGGAGAAGGGCCCCTGTCCCCTTTTGCTGAGTTTGCTCCAGAGTTAGCGAAGCTCACCCTCCCCACCGCAGCTCCATTCGAGGCCCTCTGGCTTCTGTTCACCTCTCCCTTTCTCACCTCCTGAGTGGAGGCTGTGTGTATGCAGGGTTGTATGGCCCTCCCTTTCCCCCTGCCTGCCTGAGGCCCTTCTCCAACCCTGGATGCAGTAACACCTTTGAGTTTAGCCAAGGAAGGCTGAATCCAGAGGGGTGCCCTTGAGCTTCTCCCACGCAGCCATGCTCCCCTTACCAAGGCTGTGTGTTCCCTACTTCCTGGCAGCCCGCCCTGACTGACCACTCTTGGCTCTGCTCACTCACCACTTTGGCCCTAGGGACTCTCTTAGCACAGCTTAATTTTATGCTAGTGACTATGGCAATGCACACTGTCCTTGAGTTTGGGGGGTGTTAGGAACTCCTGCTACGTATAGATTGCAGATTTCTCAGGGACTGAGACCCTGTCACCTGCTTCTTTTATATCACACATGGGGTCCCACAGTGGTACTGAGCTTCAGCCCACAATAATCATT